TTACTTGGCCTATTGTATCCTTCATGGTTTCTTCAATGGAGTTTTCTGCAGTGGGGCTTGTGGAGCTTGCTCAGTTTCCTTGCCCAAACGGGTTTCAGCAGCCTCTGCAGCTGCTGTGTCCTCTCACATCCTCTGTTTTTTCTCCTCCTTAAACTGACCTTTTCTATCAAATAAACAAAACAGGTTTTCTGTCACTGTTCTTTCTTTTCTCGTTCACTATACCTGCTGTCACACATGAGGTCTGGGCTTTCTATTTGGATCATGGGACTGTGGCCAAGAGGTTACTGATGTTTGCTGTGGGACACACAGCAACAGGACTGTGCTTTTCACTCCTTTCTTGGGCACCACTGGATATCAGTAGCATCTGAGTGTTGTTTGAACATCACTTCTATTCTTCAAAAGAAAACTCCTCCGTAAAATCTCTGTGACAGTGGGAACTGGGGAGACTTTTATTCTCTGGGGTGGTGTGCTCTGGGGTGCCAGCTTTTGACACACCAGCAATTACAGCCAAGGTCATGAAGCCTGTGGGTGTGCCCAGTTCTAAGGATGGTGTGACCTGGTCCTGAGAATATGTTGTGGAGAAGGTGCAGGTGAGCATTATCCCATGGGCTATGATGGAAAAGATTTTTTTGAAGCAAAAGGCCTTACAGAAGGTAAGAACAGCCAGATCCACTGTTTGTCTGGTCTCTGTGCTTTGTTTGACAGCTGCGTCCTTTCAGCCAGGGGTGTCTCATCTTTGGTTTTCATCCAGTTACGTGAAACATCACAAAAGCCATAAATATTATCGTGACCCTCAAATGGGACCTGAAGGGGAAGTGAAAATCCTTCCATCCATAGGCGGCAGAAAGGTAGGACTTGCAAATAGGTCTTTGTGACCGTGAAACAACAAACCTGAGTATACCTAAAATCCAAATCCCAAATGCAGTACTTGAGTCCTGGTCCTAGCTGTAGGAAAGAATGAATATATGATCTATTGGCATGTCTTGTCTGCGGTGCAGTAAATCTGTCCAAAATTTTGTAGGAGTTACCCTACAGTGCACTATCTTGGCAATAAATCTTCTCAAGTCATAGAAACAGGATAAAACAATGAAGAGGCCATAACTAAACTGTAGACCAGAAGCTAAAAAATTTTGAATGAGTATGCATTGTATATAAATATGTATATGCATAGTACACATTAAAAAAAACCACCCATATAGAATATACATTTGCGTAAAACCTCATAACAGGGTGTTTCAGGTACACAGATTTATGTGTAGAGTACAGCTTCTTTACATAATTACAAAAATGTTCCACAGTGTTTTGTTGCTTTTAACAAGTCTGTTCTTAAAACCACAGTTCATAACCTTGAATATCCACATTTTGAACTGGAATGTTTTATAGCAGGTTTCTGTATGGTAGTATGCTCACTCATAAAAATTTCTTTACGTTTGACATAACTACGATAAAATAATTTAATCCATTGAAATTGATAATGGGTATTTTTTCACTAATTGGTAAGAGAGCTGTTAATCTGAAATATATTAGTTTCAATTGATTTGGCAATTGTATGTGATTTTGCACTCTGATAAAACAGATATGTATATGTATTTTGCATAGCTCTATAGATATAAAACTTCTGCTATCTTGGCTGACAAAATTATTCTCTCTGGTTGAGTTTTAAATTGCAGCATTTGGTATTAAAATGGGCAGACTTCATAAAAACAAGCCACAAAGAGGTAAAATTGCCTTGAAAAGGAAATATGGCATTGGTTTAAGGAATTCTTTTGTCTACAAATATTATATGTAGATTCTCCCATGGCTTTGCTGGACTCAGTTTCTGGGTGTGTACAAGACAGTTTAACAATTTCTGAGGTACCACAAGGAAATGTCTTGATGCTCAGCATCACAGGAGCATTTCCAGAACATGCCTGTTCAGCAAACACATGGATCTGTAGTGGAATAATATTATATTGTCAATAGAAGTCTTAACCCTTCTGTTAGGGTTTCCAGTTGATGTCAAGTGTGGCGTTTCAGATACAAATTCCTCTCCAAGTGTGAGAAGGTAGGCACTTTCAAATGATTTCATAGCTCTGTAGGAGTTAGCAGATGATACTGATTTTATTCATTGCTGTGAAAGCTGCAGCTACATTTTTTTTCCTCAGTCCTGTTTATGGCCTCAGGTCCACCTCGGTGGTCAGCTTCCATACATGTTACTGACAGTAGAGTGACTGCCTTAGCCCACAAAACAAGAGGGAGAGCTCACAGTGTTGGGCTTTGCAAAGCACTGGGAGAAAGAAGGTTTGCCATTTGTGGCAACCCAGTATTTCTGAGTAAAGAAACCCCTTGTTTTCTCTGTTAACAAGTGGCATAACATCTCACCTGGGACTCGATGGACAGCTGCTCAGCTGACCGGACCCACTTTGTTCAGTGGACTAATAACCATGTCATTTAGCACTGTATGGCCAAGCAAATCCTTCACTGCTGCTGCATAGTCCAGCAAAAGGATTTGCTATGTAGCTCTATTAATTACAAATCGAAGGCATCCACATATTCAAGGTAACTGCAACTTTTTCCCCAGGAATGTGGAAGATATCTGGTGTTAACCAACTTCAAAGAGGGGGAGAGGGAGAGAAGGAATTTAATTCTGCTTGTGTATGAGGTAATGTCAATTCCTTGCAGTCAGGAGACTGGGGCTTAATTGATATCATATGGTTAACAAATGTATTCCAAAGCCGGCCTCATTTGATTGCTTTTTAATAACTAATAACTCGGAGGGAGTCCAAAATATGTATGTATAAAAAATCACGTGGGAGCTGCCTCTCCTGCTTGCCAAGATCACTGTTACAGAAAAAATGTGTACCTTTTGCAGTCCTGGAATAGACACCAGCAGTGGCTGGACACGTACTCTCTCTGTCAGCCCCAGCCAGGAGCGTCTGGAGGAGCTGCAGAGGGGTTGTAGGGTACGTCCCTGCCAGCGGCAGTGGTTGTCCGCTCTCGCTGGGGTTTGTATTGAGCCGTGACTAGAGCAGGGATTCAGTTCCTCCTGGTATTCTCCCCTGCCTGCCCAGGCCAGCTCCACATGAGAATGCCTGCCCACAGCTGCAGAGCTCACAAAGGCAGTAAAGAGCCACTGAGTAATATTTCTGTCATGAATCATTTTTCCCGTGGAGTTTATTGGCTTCCCAAGCCACAGATCTCAGAGCAAGGAATCATCCCCTGCGATGGGACAGGAGACTCATAGAGGGTTCAGCTCCTCACTCCACTTTGGTAGCCCCCATGCTACTCCCCATGTGCTCAGAGCCTCCTGGCTTGATCTTTATCCCATGGGCAGCTGCCAGGGTGGCACTGGCTGTCGGGAGCAGAGGCTGTGGCAGTGGCTCTCAGCCCCAGCGCCAACACAGCTGCCCACAGATGGATTTCCCTGAGCAACCGATTGCACAAAAGCTCTGCCTGCAGAGCAGGGTCTGAGTGCAAGCAGGATATATGTAAAAACATGACATTGATTTCAGCTCATAAAAACAGAGGCTGAGTCCCACTTTCATCCCTTTGTCTGTGTGCCAACAGGGCAGGTGAAGAGGAACAAAAGGATTTGAACAGTGTCACTGCTGTGTCACACAGTGCCATGTGCCTCCCTCCCACCAATCCTCCCAGCAGGTTTCCCCCTTGCTTATTTAGTGGGTAATTGGCCAGGGCATGGCCAAATAGGACCAGAAGTCATGACCACTGGAAAGCTTCCCAGAGCATCTCAGTCACTGGAAATGGGTTGTAAAGGAGCTGCTGCTTTAACTCTTGGCAGCTAAAATACAGGCAGGCAAGTTACCTGAATATGCTATGACATACAGCAGGGCCAAGTAGCCTGCTCTGAGAGTCTGTGGGAACTGAGCAGCTGGAAAGGGCAAGCACAGCCAGGGCAGCACCCTGGGTGGAGCTCCCATGCTGGATTTTGTACCTTCTGCTTTATGGCACTTGTGTAACTTTTCAGGCTTCAGTCTGAGTTATAAGCTAGAAGTTATTGTGAGAAGATAGCTGATATTTCCTTTTCATGTGATGCCCTATATGAAATTTAGGACACAGTATTCTCCTGCCTTAGGTTGTTCAATGCAGTGTTCAATGCACCCAAAGTTGAGAAATACCAGTGAATTTTCCAGCAATATGAGTTTATCTTTGTTTGATGTATTTTCTTTTATGACCTATTAAGCTAAACATTTAATTAGGAAAGAAGAAAAGCAAATGCCATGTCATATACATGCAGCATGGCTGAGTAGAAGATTGTAGCAGTTTATTTAATTTACTCAGTGAACTGGGAGATGTCAAAAATGGGGAAGGGACCATCTCTTCTCTGACTTAGCAGATAACCAGTGTTGGGGTACTTCTAAGGGGACTTTGTGCATGGACTTATATTAAATTTGTGGGATTTTATTATTTATTATTGGGAAACTGCAATTCAAGTAATACAGAGGGAAATAATTGATGGTATCATGACTCGTTTCAGCAAATTTTATAGTGGACTGTTTTATCTACTGCCTTAGACCTCAGCCTAATTTTGTCTGTTTTGCACTCTGCATGTTAAGATGGCAGGTCCTGACAACAGCAGCTTACTTACTGACACTACCTTAAAACTGGGTTAATGGAGTGGAGCGAATACGATTGAAGAAATACACTAAGCTTTTAGCCTAATACTAAGGCGTAGACTACAATGATTTGCTTTTCAAAATGACAGATGCACGATAGGCAAAAAACATTATTTTTTTTTCTGACATTGGGAAAAACAGGATAGTAGTGGATGGTTGGTGCAACCTGTCTTTTTAATGATAAACCCCATATAAATGCAAAGACTCAAGCAAGTAGGTGGTATGTAGGGGAATACAAAAGCACTGGTATTTGAGTCACATATAGAGATTAATATGACATAAGATATCTCTTTTCTAGTACTGAAATATGTCTCCTGGTTGGAAGCTCCTCTGGAATGATGCCCTTGTGATGGAGCCAGGACCACAGTGGGCACATGCTAGAGGTGCTTTGTAAGGTCCATCTCCCAAATGGTTGCAGGGACCATTTCCATGTGAAAACCCGTGATGACAAGCACTGCAAAGTTACATAAGCAGGGTTCAGCTGGGAGTTTTCTGTGTGAAGGAATTGAACTCAACAGGAGTTGTGCCTATGAGCTCACTACTGTGTGCTGGAGCGCTATGGGGAGCTCTGGGCAGCCTGGTTTAAGGCCACTGGAAGTGAGGGGTAAGACAGTTTTCTGTCCACCTTGAAGAGGTCTGGACTCATTGAGAGTGTGGGGTTTTTGTTTCTTTGTCTGGACTTGGTTTTGTTTGGGATTGTTTGTTTGTGGTGGTTTTGGAGGTTTTTTGTCCAGTGGCCCCAACCTTGAAAAAATGCTGATCTTGTGTGAATTTCAGTGCCCATTGCCAAAGACTGTCCTCACTGTGGTTGCATCTGGGTTGGTGTCAAAAGGAATACAGATGGCTTAAGTCCATAATCAGAGTTTAAACTGGGCAAATCATGCTTGGGATAATTGATACATTTTTTATTTCTATTGCTTAACTAGAGGATGCAGGAGCAGGATTAATTCAAACGAGTTTGAAGGAAGGGTATCGAAATCCATACAGTGAAAGCAATTAATGAGGGAACTCTCCTGGTATTATTAGAAAGACTACTAGGAAGACAGCAAATTATGGAAAATGAAAGATACTTGACGCTGGGCATGAAAAGGAAAACAAAACTCAGGCTGGATAATTAATGATGAAAACAAAATTATGTTCTATTTGGGAAGAAAATAAACACATTGTAAGAGGCAGGGGATGACTGGGCACTTACACTGTTTCTGTTGAGACCAGTCAATGTTTTAAAGTTAGCAGGAAAAGTTATGAGCTTTTACAATTATTCCTCAGAAAAGCAGAAGTGAAAAGCTAAAAATGGCTATTTTGTGTTTCAAAGGGAAAGAAAAATTATTGCAGTGCCTGTTCCCTTGCTGTTCCCCTGTCTCCAAACCAGCAGTGGTAAGAGGCACTTCATAGCACGTCTGACCTTTTCTCCCCTTCCTACAGACAGAGAATGGGGCCAATTTATAAATATTCCTGGAAACAGTGTCAGGAGAGGCTGTGGACTATTACCATTAAAACAACTTTGTTTTACATATATGGGTGCTGATTTTACTTCACCTTCACAAAGTTGCTTTTTATTAGATTTTCATTAGTACTCACACTAAATTGAACACTACTAGCACAGTTATTTATGTGGAGATCTTTTCTTTGCCCTTCCACTTCTTCTGTTTATCCCTGTCCATCATAGTTCAGAATGACTACACTTTTCATTTCAAACACAATCAAAAAAAAAAAAAAGAAAAAGCCCAAACTAAATAATCCAATGTTAGTCCCCTGTTACAGGAATGCTGCTGCTGTAGGAAAGAAGGATAAGAAAATGAGTTGATCTTCAAGCCTTTTCTATACGGTTTAATCTTTACTGAAGACTGAAGATGCTCAGCACTATGCTTAATTAGTTCCATATGCTGTTTAAAATGCAGATTTCCTAGCCTCCTCCTCTTGATATGAGTTGTTTAACCTCTAACATTTTATTCTCTGCTACTTGGGCATGATATTGGTAATAGGAATAGCTTACAGCCTCATGAGAATCTAAAGACTGAATTACTAAGGTTTATATAATTAGAGGTTGCATTCTGCCCTGTTTGTTGTTACTTCCTAACCCAAAAGGTGCAACACATCTGATAATTTGTTTTTTCCCTGCCCCATCTCTTCACTCTCTTAACAACATGACAACTGCTGCAGACTCAGATCCTACCCTTGGAAAACAGAGGTGGTTCCTTAGTGCCTCTCACCAACTTACAGAGCTGCTCCATTATTGTCACTATATGCAGGTAAAGCCACCTTTATCTTCTGTACACCTAGCAGTGCCTGTATCGAAATGCAGGGTCAGACTGATGAGGACTTCCCCTGCCTCAGCCCTGTCCTTGTTGAGCTGTAGTAAGTATTCAAGTGTGTCACAACTTCACTTAATTGTTTCCATTTCTACAAAAAGATGATAAAAAACACTCGTAACTGAGCATGCAAAGGCACTCGTAAAAAAGTCTATTAATTTTTATGCCTTAAATTCACTTTAAACCAAAATTCACTTTAAATTTGCTGCGAAAACATTTCTCTTAAAATCTAAATTTATAGGTCACAGAACAAATAGGGTTTCAGAACAAAAGTCTGGCTTTTATTCTCTTGAGAATTCTATTATTGTTAATTAATAATCCTGGTTTGCCTGCCTTTGTTTTCAAGGCTGTTCAAGGAAAATATCTCTGAAGCTCTGCTGTTTTACTGCAATTTTTGATGAATATTTTATCAAACAGCAATCACGATCCTGTAATTCAGTTGTACAGTTTACAACTGTCATACACTGAAACCTAAAGCAACTGAGAGAAGCAAAAGCAAAACACAAAATTATCAAACATTTAAGCTTTCAGAATAGCTGGAGTGCCTTAATATTGATTTATCCTAAAGCGAGCATAATGTTGCTGTTTTGCTACTGCCTGTCACTTCCCTGAGTGGCAGCATTTGGCTGCTAGCATTTAAATGTACTCTTAATCATACTTGTGGAAATGTGGGCATAGGTGGTGCTAGCAAGGCTACCAACTGAGGTCTTAGCTGTAAAACAGAACTGTGGCAGACACTGACGTGTGCCTGTACCTCTCTCAATTGATCCTGACGAGATCGCAACCTTCCACCTGTCTGACATTTATGGAAGCTGATCAAATAGTAGGCTTTTTTAATTTATATAATGAAGAGCTATTTGGAAACAATGTGGTGGTTTTATGGCCTGAGCACTCATTGGTGTTGCTGGGTGCTATACCACCAGCTCAGCTCACAGACCTGCTTCTGGTGCAGAATATTGCTGCTGGGTGAAAGCATTCCTAACATACATGATTTATTTACAGGCTGACAAAATGTAGGCCTTAAGGCTGAATATTAATGTAATAACCCTAACTGCAATAAACCCACTGTTTCTCAGAAGTGTTGATCTCCCACCGTTTTCAGTGGCCCTAATTTTCTCCCTCCGTATTCTTCAGTGCTCCAAAAATCAGAACACTTTCATTTCACTCTCTAAATACAGTCTTGTCAAGCAGCCTTCAGTGTTACCATTTTGTTTCTGGACGGATTCCTGTGTTCTGCTGGTCAGAGGCTTGCAAACTCTTCGAGGACTGTTTTGAAATTGGTGGGGATTTTTTGTTTTGTTTTTGTTTTGTTTTTTTGTGTGTGAATTTTTTTTTTGTGTGCTTTTTTTTTTGTTTGTTTTTCTTTTTTTTTTTTCCTTAAATATTTAGCAGAATAATATGATATACAGCACTCCCCTGAACATTATGCAGGAACCATAGACATAGTATCACTGTTAAATGACCCCCTGCTAAACTTTCCTGTTCTTGGGTGGTCTTGGGTTGCTGATACACTTATTTGGTAGGAAATAGAAGGCCTAAAACTAATACTTGTTGTGGAGAGATGATTGAAAGAAGGTGAGCAGGACCATTTCTTGCACCTAAGGAGATGAGAAGGGCAAAAGCATGAGGAATCTTTTATTTTATATGGTTGTTTTCACATCTATTACTACAAGCATGAAGTAGGAGGAGCCGCAATGAACATTTCACAGGAAAAAGTTCTGTTCCAGTTCAGTAAAAGAACTTCCATAAGCTTTGGCCCAAGTTTATGTACTTTGGAGTGGAATTACAGAAAAATAACAAAGCCAGAACCAATACACAGCTCTGCGCAGGCAGAGGGTTTATCATATTCTTCTTTTATGATTCTTTTGCCAGAGGGAACTTTTTATTATAACTGTTCTGTTATTGTTGCAGTCATTAAAGAAACAAAAAAAAAAAAAAGGAGGGAAATTATATTGCTTACCCTGTATTTTATTTCTGAAGAGTGGTCCTGCACAAGGTTGGAGCTTGGAGCCAGCTCCAGGAAAACCCTCTGTACTTCCCATGGCATTAGGTGGCCTCAACGGCGTGAATGTGATACTCCCCATTTAGCTGCTATACATGTGTGAATGGCAAAGCTGGGTGGTGGCTCTGTGCTGCTCTCTGAAGGGTTTTTAGGGGGTTCCTCAAGGAGGCGGCAGTAGGAATGGATCTCAATTAGCTTCTCAGAGCCCAAATGGTTATGGATGCTGAGCAGCCATAACCCAAGAGCTCTACTCTAGGATCAGCTTTGGGGGGAGGGTGAGAAAGGAAATACAGTGCTTTTTCTCAGAATAGCAACTTCTTTTCTTCCTCAGATGTGCTATGTGCACAGAGTTTCTCACCTGAATACATTGGGTCCATGCAGATTCCTCAGTGGTGGTTTTAACCCCAGCTGAAGAGACAAAGTTTAGGCTTCTTTCACCATTTCTTTAACCTGAGCGTCTCCCCACCTCTGTCTGCTGTGTGCCACTTTAGGCACAGCTGGCCTAACCAGGAGGAGCTGTAGCACATCTTTCAGACTAGATCATGCTAGTATTTATATGAAGTAACAGGAGGATTTAAGGCAAATTCGCAATACGAGTGAAACATCCTGGCTGTGTGTAAATCCTCATCAGATGGCGGGTGATTTCCAAGCTAATATATGATGCATGGAGGAACTTGAATCCCCCAATGCAGGGAGCAAGAGCAGACTGTGGCTGAATCCCTTTGAATAGATCTTGCACTCAGGGGAAGCTCAAGGGCACGTGAAGCGTGGGAGCATATGGGAATGGCAGGTCACTGCAGCTCTGAGTATAGGCATGTTGGCACTTGGGCACCAATACTTTCACTGGATAGGGAAATTTATAGGGAGAAGAAAGATATTTGTAGTTTTGACTTTATTTTTTTTTAAGTTGAAGAATTTTATAACTGTTTCATCTAAATGCTGATCTCTCAAGGAACGGCAGCCAGCCTCCTGCTCACTCTGTGTGTGCACTTACGCTCTATGGCTGTCAGACAGCTGGGAGGAAATGTGTGTGGAAAGAATCTTTTGGGGCATATTGGCTTTTAATGAAACAAACTGTTTCTGGAATAATCTGTAATTGTTTCTGTGTCCTGAGTGTACTCAGGATCCAGCCTTTTTATGTCTTGCTAAACATTCAGGGCAGAGCATTACTACACCTTACAGCTGAAGCCAGACTTTAAAAAATATTTACCTAATTCCCTCTAAAATCAATACTTGCTAATTAGCACATGTATTTAACTTCACAGGCACACATGTAAAATGCATATTATT